CAGGACGGGTCTCACCTGCTAACCGTGAGACCTGGTCTCACCTTTGCAGCCATGATTGGATGATCATTGAGCACCTATCATTTTTGGAACAAGAATTTCTCATTAGCTGACATCTTGATAATAGTAGTACCATGTTGGGTAAAAGTTTAAACTATGCATTGTTGCATGGACAGAATTTTTATTGCACCCGTTTATGGAAGTAAGTGAAGTCGAATCATATTTACATCCCACTCAGTTCTAGCACTAGACACTAAACCAATCCATCTTCTACCACTAAATGTCTAACACACACACACACAAGAAGGAGAAGGAGGAGAAGAAGATGATGAAGCTAATGGAGCTTCTGAAAAATGGGGTCCAGCGCTCCAGTCAGCTAGCTGGCCATGCGGAACAAGTCGAGCAACTTGAGGTCGCTCTCGCCGCCGTCCGTCGCCGCGAGGGACCTCGCCGCCTTCTCCGCGACGGCGGCCCGCACCTGCGCCATGGTCGGCCGGAGCCCCGGCTGCGGCGCCACGCACTCCACGGCGACCCGCGCGACGTCGCCGGCCTCCACAGCATCATAGTCGCCGCCCAGCCTGCCGTCCACGAGCCCCGCCGCCCCGGCTGCCCTCAAGCGCGGCATCACCCTCGCCGCGAGGTACTGGCTGCTGCCGTCCGGGCCCGGCGTGCCGGCGGCCGGCGAGCCGGTGAGGGCCTCGAGGAGCAGCACGCCGAAGCCGTACACGTCGGACTTCTTGGACACGATGCCGGTGCGGAGGAAGAAGGGGTCGGCGTAGCCCGGCGAGCCGACGGCCGCCGCGCCCCGGGCCGGCGCCACGGCCGCCGAGAAGGTGCCCTCGCAGGCCGACCCCAGGTCGCAGAGCCGCGCGCGGCCGCCGCCGTCGAGGAGCACGTTGGAGGCCGACACGTCGCCGTGCACGACGGAGATGGCGTCGTGGAGGTGCTCCAGCGCGGCGGCCACGTCGTGGAGCACGCGCATGCGGTGGCGCCAGGTGAGCGGCGGCGTGGCGGCGTGGTGGAGACGGTCCGCCAGCGTGCCGCCCGGCATGTACTCCAGCACCAGCGCGCCTCCCTCCTCTGCGAGAAGGACAACAAATTCAGCCATTTAACCAGTGAATAATATTACTATTTACCATATTTACATAATTTGTTGCGGTGAAAAGAGGAGAACAGAGAGGGGCGTGGTGATTAAGCAAGCGCGCGCAGATGTTGTTTAGGACTGACGAAAACTAACATTGTCGTTAACCTATCACGCTCAAAAAGCAGCAGGATAGAAAAATTCAGTGAGGTGGCGCTGTTTTTCTCATTAGGTAGGCAGTGGTACATCACTCGTGAACACAAGTCAATTTACTCCACATTTTCAATCCAGCCTACGTATTTTCTACACACCTGACAATGATAAAATATACCATTACTGTGTTTAAGTATATATAAAAGGTAGAGAAATTTGAGTTCTTTACAGGAAGAGGAATTTGAGTTACTTATATAATAAAGTAGGAGCACTTTCTACCGGCAGTGTAAGAAGGTAAAAAAATATTCATTTGAAGGAGGAGGAAGTTCCCTGTGTTGTTTCCTCGGCCACATGGAGTCAAAGCTACAGCGGCAGCAGGAGCAGTGATGGGCATTTGATTTCATTTTCATTTTTCGTCGGTGCAGTGCAGGATCGTCGGAGGAGGGAGTATTTACCGTGGTCGTCGGAGTAAGCGAGGAGGGCGACGAGGCGCGGGTGGCGGCCGACGCGGCGGAGCAGGTCGAGCTCGCGCCGGAACGCGCCGAGCCGGCGCTCGCCGCCGCCGCACCAGCGGTGCACCTTCACGGCGGCCGGCGGCCCGCCGGCCGCGACGGGGATCCTCGACAGGTACACGGCGCCACCCGAGCCGCCGCAGCCCACCACGGCCGCCTCGTCGAACCCGCCCGTCAGCGCCTCCACCTCCCGCCACGCCAGCCGCCGGGGCTCCGGCGCCTTGGGCCTCGCCCACGCCGCCGGAACCGGAAGGGGCAGCTCCTGCTGCGGCACCGGCGGTGGCGCCGCCCGCGCGGCCGCCTCCGGGTCGACGGCGGCGTAGGGGGCGCGCGCGGGGGCGCGGCGGAGCGCGGCCACGCAGAGGCGGAGGAGGAGGAGCGAGATGGCGGCTGAGGCGAGCAGCAGGAGGCAGAAGAAGACCGTGGCCAGCGCCATGGCCGCGTCCATGCCGCCGCCGCGCGTGTCTCCCGCGGGCGCTGAGCTCGGCCTGCTTGCTTTCTTGGAGTGTGGGGGAGATGCGAGGGAAGGGGAAGGGAAGGGTACGATGTATATGCATGGGAGAGAACCGGAGGAGGACAAAAATGTGAGCTTTAGTCAGTAGTAGTGTGGTGGATATTAAACAAGATTTGATTATGTGCTGGTAGTATACCAAATACATTTAGGAGGAACGTGCTACTCGTATCATTTTTCAAAAGTGAAAAGCATGCAGGAATGTATTGTCCAGCAGGAGTTTAATGGAATACTACACTTTAGATGGAGTGTTTTTTAATGGGGCATGCGATTGTTTTTGGAGGCTTCGATGCCAATCAGTTGGTTCAAATTCAAACTAGGTATCAAACGTTTTTCTTTCAAAGATTTTCTTTTTCAAAAAATATCCAGATCTACTATAAAAGTTCGTCAGAAGTACAAAACATCTTAAACATAATGAAAATTACATCGAGGTCCCTGAACCACCAAACAATCATTACTCCTGCCAGAATGATCTGATGTTGATAATAGTTGGCAAGTCTTTGTGCATGTGCCCCTAAGGGCCAACATCTTGAGCCACGGTCGTCGTCATTGAACTCTTGAATCGATTTGAAAGCACCGCGCAACAAGATCCCTAACAGAAATTGAAGTCAGAGCTCCCCTGACTTTGTCCAGACGGAAAAACTCATCACAATCGGGTCTTGAAAGACTAAGCTTGAAGAAGAAGCGCCACAGGCCACTCAAGCACAGCTCTTGCGGGGACTAAAAAACCCAAGCCAAAACTCTTGGTTGGAGCCAAGGCACACGAATTTCCCTCCCGGCCACTGGAGAGACACGCGGAATGGTGACAAATCCACAAGCTCGCCGGCAAAGCTTAGAGAGGAAGAGTTTGCATTAGCCGCAACATACGAGGGAAAGAAAAGGAAAGAGTTAGAGATGTTTATTTTTCCTAAGATAACAATCGTCCTCATCCAAACACTCCTTGAATCTTCGTAAATTAAGAGGCAAAATACAACCAAACATGGAGGTAACTCTTTCTAAATAATAAGAGGGACACATGTGAAGACTTACTTACTCTCATCGACAAGGTCAAGCCGGCTCCGGTAGGGGAGCGGCGACAGCGACGCGTCAATGGCTCGTTCTGACGGGCAGTAGTGGTCGTTTGATGGTCTTGGAATTTCAGTGTAATTTTAGTATGCTTGAGATGCTTTATACTTTCGGTGAACTTTTATAATAGATTGGACCATTTTCGCCAAAAAAGAGGTATACATAAAAAGAAAAGAGAGCAAAAGTTTTAGCCTTTCCATTCATCACCACCACATTTATAATCTCCTTCGATTACATTTTCATATTGCTAATCTCTGTAGAGAAAATCTCACTGAGTTTCGATAAATGCTGAGCGATTTTCTTTTTATGCTGAATAGCGCGAGGTTCAAATTCACATCGCTTGTTCAAAATTTGAACAAGTACTCCAATCCAACTCAAAAGAAAAACGGACACCTAATAATCGTACCCGTCGTCCCAAGGTTAGGCACGCACGTACGTACGTACGGCCGGATCGTATTTAAGTTATCGGCAGCATCGATGCATGCGTCGACACGTACACGGTGCGAACCGATATGTTGAAGTTCGAGCGTACACGTGCACGGCGACTCGGTGGCAGTGTGGTTCTACCAGCTGGAAGGATCGATCCGGTGCTTAACTTAATTTAGATCGGTTTGCAGATGAGTTGAGCATAGCTACGTATACCGGTCGATCAGATCAGTTTTACGGACCAGGTAAAGTAAACAAGTTGTAAATGGGTGCTCTTTCAGCAAGCTCACATTCAACGGTGTAATAAAAAATTACAGTTTTGTTAAGGCACATCTGAAATGTGCCCTGAGTGTTGCACATCTGAAATCATTTTTATTAGTCTTTTTTTTTCTTTTAGGTTTGTTTAAGGCACATCAAGATGTGCTTAGTTATTGCACATCTAAGTGACTCAATCAAACTAGAAAGAAAAAGGAAAAAAACAAAAGAAAATGCTTTCACGAACCTTAACGTAAAATCAATGATATAGCACCTTGTGCTTTAGCAAAACTGCTTTCTTTTTCTTTCTTGTTTGGTTGAGTTATGTAGATGTGCAATAACTAAAGCATATTTAGATGTGCCCCAGATAGGTCCTACAAATTACATTGAGATTCTTGGACCACTACACAATTATTACTGCCAGGACAAGCTGCCGACGTGCCATCGATCAGGGGTGCATTATAAGTATTCCAAGTATGTAAAACACTAAAAGGAAGGAAATTTTAATTTTATTTATTATCTTTCTGTTGTATAGCGAAGATCAGCGTAACACTTCCCTACATAGGATGCATCCCCAATTGGCATAAAAATGTGCATTCCTGCAAAGATTGGTTATTCACATTGTACATACACACGGAAGAAACTACCGGATCATGTTATTTCTTTTTACTTGTCCAGGTTATTTTAGGATAGTTTGGAGCTAGGCAAAAAATATTTGACGTGCTTCAAAATAAACTAGATACATATGACACACAAATAATTAACGAAATTTTGAAGTGACTTTTTCTTTAATTATGATAAATTTATGCATCCTAATTTGTACTTAGTCACAACGTATGTCCAACCTAGGGGAATGTACTAACGAAGCATACTTCTATTGTGCTAGTAGATAGTACTAGCAGGGGTGGCGTTTGGACGAATGGCGACACTCTTTCTTCGAGTCAATCTTCCAGAGTCTGATCCTCCTCAAGTTCGTCTGTTGGGACGGATTAGACGGATCTCCTGTGTAGATTTCTGCAAGCTCCTAGGGGCGGCGAGGTTAGGGTTTCTCGCCGCATGAAGACTTCCCGGCTGTCATCGACAGGGTTAGGTCGGCTCCAGTATGGGAGCGGCGACAGCGGCCCGTTCTGGCAGCGACAATGGTCGTTCGGTGGTTCATAGACCTTGATGTAATTTTTATTATGTTTGAGGTGCTTTGTACTTTTGATGAATTTTTATAATAGATCTGATCTTTTTGCAGAAAAAAAATGAGTAATCAGGCATGCAAAAAATCTGGAAATGCAAAGCCAACAATTTCCTAATTAGAACCTTGGGCAGCGGTAACTTGGCAGTGTGGGGGAGGTCGAGGGAGGGAAGGGTGGCGAGGCGCGCGTGGTAGGGCCACCGCTTATGATTGGGTCGACGTTCGATAGACGTCATGGGAGAGGGGTCATGAGGGTGGGAAGAGGAAGAAAGGCTCTTGGTCGCCGAGTTTGAATCAAATAATTTGACTTGAATAAAAAAAGGCACATGTGTAACAGTCATCTCTTTTTTTTTAGAAAAGACCATCATGGCTAGCTTTATTGAACTAAAATAGTTGTTACATCATCCATAAGTCTAGAAAGCAGAAAACCTAGAGGCTCATATGTCCAACTCAGTGAAACTTCATTATAATAACTATAACTAGCTAACACATGCGTCGCTTGATTAGAAATATAAAAACAATGCTTAAAGTTGACCTTTCCGATCACACACTCAGCAAAAAAAGTGGCTGTTGTATTCCACCATCTTGATTGACCGGTGCAAGAATCTATCACATGGGTAGAATCGGATTCCGCCTCAACTTGATGAAACCTCAGAAAATTTGCGAAGTTCAAACCATCACGCGTTGACATTGCTTCCGTGGTAACCACATGGGCAGCATGTGGTATATATTTGCATTGGAGCCAGGAAATTCCCTTTGTCGTCCCTAAGAGCCGCCCCTGTGGCACCATCACCGGCATCAACAAAGAACGATGCCTCAATGTTGAGCTTTATAAGCTTTGGGTCCGGTCTGCTCCAACTTTGGTCTCTAATCTCCCTCTCCATGTTGCGAAGGCATTGTGTAGTGCTAATCAATCTCAGGTCCAAGAAACAAAACGTACACAATGCAGTTTTGAGTAGGCGAGCGGTGAACATCAAAGAATATATGCAGCACTACTACTTAATTACTGTCGATCTCTTATTTCTTTTGTGTCAAGGTCATGCATGCATCAAATTAACTTTTGTAGCTGTACATCTGTTTCCTGTAGATAATTAGCAGCTAGCTAGCTAGGCTGATTAGTTAGGCAGCAGATCATCATGGCCACGTAAGTACGTATACCATTACTATCACATAATTAGTTAAGCATAGTAAGCGCTGTAGACTGTACGGTGCCATGCACCGTGTGTACAAGCGCGTGGACGCGTGAACAGGGAGCGGCTGCTGTTAAAGTAGATTGAACCTCTTTGTCAGGTACACGTACACGCCTCCATTCTCTTTCGACCGCTTACCTAACTAGTGAGCTAATTAGCATGAAATGCTAGCTAGCTTCGCATTTACCTGACTGGCATCTTGTTTTATCTACTTACGTAACTTTATTTGTGTATTGAATCATCAATGTATGAACAGAAAGATTAGCGAGCTACCACATCATAATTAAATAGATCTAACCTAATACGCATAACAGTTAAGTCCTACCCATAATATACTCCTGCGGCAGCTAGCGATGTATAGCTTGTCACGTGTACCCTTAAATTCGGCCGTGTCAGTGAGGCAACCGCATGACAAGTTAACGTCTTGTGACTCACGAGCTCAAACTCAGGTCAATTAAAAACCCTATTGGCAGCTCTCTAGTTAGCTAGCTTCCTGTCCGAATTTTCTGATACTCTACAAGTGATCATGATAGTGTAACAAGGCTACAACCTTACAAAATTTATGAAAACTTTCCTTTTTTGCCAGTGAAATGTTATGAAAAGAAATGTTGCATCTAGAAAGATATGCGGACAAATGTACATATGAAATCTCTTGAGAAACTTTAATTGATTTCCCAATGAGTAAATTTTTAAAGTTACTGTACATCAAACTGCGGCAATGCCGGTGAGTTACGATAAATGGTGTAAGAAGGTCTTTTATGTTACAAATAAACTAGCGGAGTCACCCGCGCGATTGCTCTGCTAGATATGCATTCTGT